TTCCATTGGCATTTTTATTTATGAAATATGTCTCAATTCATACTTTAGGAATTGAACACCACAATACAGTTCACATACTGCACGAAAAGAGATACAGACAAGTTGTGTGAACAGCTCCAATGCTTTACGATACACATTTCTATATAAAAACAAAAAGGCTGTGCATTAATGTTTAATACTAAATGATTTTTAAAAGCTTACAATCATTCCAGTTGCATGGCAGAGTCATATCCTTCACTGCTAATAGGGACAAATACAAATGATCTTGAAACATTCCTTTTTTTTTTTTTTACAGACCTGTCATACGCAAAATCTAAATTAAATAATAGAAGCAATAAACTGTACAGTTAACATTAGCAGCCATGGTTTACCCTCGGCATTAAAAAGCAATGTATCAGTGAACCATTTAGCTTTTGAAGTCTCGCAGGCTCATTCTAGCAAAATCTATTGTCATCTCCACGAAAAACAAATCACGGTTTCTATTCGTGACTCAGTTCAATATTTGCTATAGCCTTTTGAGAGTTTATACAAGTCTTGATTCATCCAAAGCGTCCGATTGATTTTTTTTTCTTTCTCTTCTCGTGCGTGTTGAGCCCCTCGAGTGTTTTCTGCTGGCTGGCTTTGACGCACATATGAAGAGATGCAGAAGGGTCGCGACTCCTTTCATTTTCAGATGCACGTAAACCATGTGTCTCTTTGATATTTGTGTAATTTTAAATATTTATTATTTATATATGTACATTCATAGAAAAGGACGAAGTTGAAATGTTTTTTTTCTTTATTTTCACAGTTTTGTATCATATGCCCCAAAAAGCCAAAGAGTGAGCGGTTATGGTACTGTGTGCATGTTTTAAATTAAATAAAGTGAAAGAAGACAGGTTAGGCTTGAGGGTGCCCGGATGTTCTTCATTCATGATTTCGGAACAGAGGTAAATATCAGACTTTCTGGACGGAAGGATATAAGCTGGCGGGGGAAAAAAGTACGAAACATGCATCAAGTATGCATGTGATTATTAGTCTTGGATTTACTGACAAACTTTTTCTCCTTCACTCTGCGGTTCTGAAACCAAATAGTAACTTGGCGTTCTGAGAGGTTGGTTGTCGCAGAGATGCGTCGTCTCTTGTCTTTGGTGATAAACTTGCTTGCTGCATACTCCTTTTCCAGTTCCTTCAGTTGTAGCTTAGTGTAGGGAACACGCTTTTTGCGCCCCCGCCGATAACTGCTGACTTCCGGCTGCAACGGAACAACATCTGAAAAACAAAAAGTGAATGGAAGCATTATTATACTAGTGGCACTGGTGAAAGTTTTGCACAATTTTGACACCATGGGGAAACTGAGGTATCTATTTAATAAAGTATTTAATTGTTGCGTCAAATGATTTAATGATGGCCAATGAGCTGGGGCCAATGTCATAAATGAACAAATAGGCATTTATGTTCCTGTTGTGAGTTACTTTATCGAATCAAAAAATATATAATATAAAAATAATAATAATATTAGCTGCTATATATGTTTGTGAAAATACCAAATCATCCTCAATTTAAAGTCTTTTCAAAATTGAGGGTTTACGACAGGTGCTTGTCAAACAAATAGACTACTCCTCAGTTACAATACAATATACTGTTAGCCTATGTAAAATCACGTGCATTTTAATTATAATGTAACTACACTGACGCTCAGCAACATTCATTTCCCCAAATCACTACCTCACTGTGGCATAAAGGTAAAATAAGGTGAAGGATATTATAGGCTCATCTGGCAGCTGAAGCAGACACATTCAGATGTAGCCTATTCTATGAGTTTCTATGAGTCATTACTCTGGTACATAACATTTACACAAGACAGAGGCATGTCAACTGCCCTTCTATCAGAAACGTATTATTGTCTAAAGGATCCAAACAGACTTTAACTGTAAATAACTGGTTTGGAATATATGTATAAAAATAGCACGAGCACAAGTACTGCATTAAAAAGCCTATTTTGTCTTTGTTTCTATAGCCTTATTTGTGGATATTTTAAAATATAGGCTACCTGTGTGTTACTGTGACGACCTCTGGGGGGAGGGGGGATTTTTAAACGGGTCAGGGGCGTGTTGGTGGTTACAAATATTCACTATAGCCACTATAATGCGACAGTAGCCTATGAGTTCTACCAACACAGTATTGGCATTTTGTAATTTTGATTTGCCACAGCTGAATAATAATACTGAATGACCGAGTCATATGCAATATTTTGCCCACAGCTAAAATCAATAACTTGACTACAGAACGTCAGCTGCTCTAAGAAAAAAAAAAAAATGCTGCTACATGGAATTCACTAAATGTCCATAACAGATTGCGGGGCACCACTCCCGATGACTGCTGACAAAGATTTATATGCGTGGAACAAATAAGACCTTTTATTATCATATTATTATATTATTATACGGGAGGAGCAAAGGTAGGCAATATTGCCATACCACAGTTCCAAATTGCGTGACTTTCCTGCCTTAAGAATCCTGTGACTCAATAATATCCGAGTTAATATATGACTATCTTCTGTAACCAGATACGTCACTCAAACATTGTACTATTTTATGTGAGAGGGAGGAAATAAAACATATAGGCTATTCTAAACTCAGTCTTACTTGTGTTTAGGATTTGCTCAAAGTCTTGTTCTGGAAAGCCAAATGAGATTTTCCCAACTGTCACGTGTCAAAAATTAATAGAACAAAAATTGCACATTTAACAGGTTCATGCAGACTTTGTGGGTGCGCAATCGTAATGCATTATGTAGAGGTTTGAGTTCAAATCACTTATCAACTGATGACTTTTATTCAAGAATATATATCGAAACATTTAAGGTGAATACTCTGCATGTTCAGTTTACAGTTGGAGAAAAAAAAGTCTAGCCATGTTATCATAACAGGAAGTCGTATTGGTACCCCTGTTATGGATGTTCTTTGATTTGTTTAAAAAATTTTAATGGTTTCACAAGTGTGGTAAGACATACCTGGAAACGGAGATTTCCAAAGATGAGAAGACTGTGTTTGCTCCTTTGAACAGTACACCTGCCCATCCCAGCCATTCGACAGAGCCCAGTGTTGATAGCCCTCCATGGGGATCAATGCATCGTGACGTGGCTCGGGATGCGCGCTAATACTGGGAACCACCGACATGTCTAAATATCCTGGAACCGCCTGGTACGAGCTGGCAAAACTCGGGTAGAAAGCAAACTCTTTTGCCCTGCTGGAGAGCTCCTCCGTGGGCAAAGCGCTGCTCGTTTCGGCATATTTTTCTGCTGGATGGTATGAACATGGTTTCTGCTGCAAGTTCACGTTGTGCGAGTGAGATAATCTGCAACCGTAGTAAGGGTTTCCAAAGGGGTAGCCGTAACTCAGAGAGGCGCTAGATGACGTCTGAGGAGCGGGACACTGTCGCCCGGTTTCTGGGGAAGATATATCCGAGTACACGGATCCCTGGTGAGTCGCTATGGTGCCGGAATGCCGCCCCAGCGCGGGGTGTGAAATCAGTTCCCTGCAATGAGTCGCAGGGCAATTCCCGCTCAATCCTTCCATAATTTGGCTTTTATTTTGATTATTTTCATTCGGGCTTTTTTCATACACGTACATCAAGGTGTCCGCCCAGCGTGGATGCAGGACCAGCGAAGTCGTCATATCACGGGCTGCCGATGCTTTTTAAAAGTCGCCTACTCCAAGACTGATACCTCATTTCCAACTACATTTTACGCACGCGCATGCGCACGACTATATCCATGTGTCCAGTTCATTAAAGCGCAGGCACGTGATATGCTAACTAGCCTGAAGAGACTGGATTGTGGGTGGGAAGAATAATCCCTTTAAACAACTACTGGCTCACGTTTCACGCCTGGCTTCTAAGGGTTTCTGTGCCCAGGCATTGGCTAAGAGAGTTGGAGACAGTCATTCTTAAAGGGGAAGGCTTCAAGCTAAGTGGAACGAAAACAACCTCAACATTTCTGCCGACAACGTCTGGACACTTAGCAGTATGCACGGTTTCATTATTTAACCTCCTCCAGTATCAACATTCTGAAACGTCGCATATCTGTAACAACATATAAATACATACATGGGCCACATACAAAAAAGCATACATATATTCTGTAAAACTCTTTATTTATGAATTGGAGTAGCATATAAGCACACTGCACACGATTAAAGTCGTATTAATTCAGATATTTGTCAGTTATTTTATTGCAATAAAAGCAGCTGATCGTCTTTAACCTATGAGCGGAATCGCTTCAGTTGCATTTTCAGAGAAGGAAAATACTTGCGTTATTTACTATAGGCTACGTATGAGCCAATCTTCTGTAAAATCTTTTTTTAGAAACAAATAAAAATAGATCAACAACACTATAACTAATAATAATAATAAAAAAACCTGCAAAAAACAAACAAACTGCCAGACAAAATCAAACACATTCATATGATGAAAAGGGTATTTGTCATTTTCATTATGAAACTAATGGCCTGAGAGAATGTCTCATTTGCGAATTGATTTTCATCACTGTGTATGTTTTTGTCGAACTTATAAAATAATTTGCCTAAAGTATATTCAGTTACACAATTGCACTTTTAATTATTTTGCACACCGTCCAACATTTAGGCCCGCAAGTTGATGTGTGTGTGAATAAATGAATGAGAATCAGCATAATATGCCTAAAAAAAGTTTTATATTATAGTATGGATACATTTTTACATTCTTTAATAATACCTTTCCCTCCCACTGACTTGTGTTACAAAATGTTCACCGTCATGATTACACAGTACACACACACTAAAAAAGAGATTTGCGTTTTCCCAATATGGTAGTAATTTACTCAGTTATGCCTCATTTTTATTCTTATTTAAATTCTAGATTGTAGAATACAACTGAATATTTAATTAAACCCTAGTTGTCATGACAAGAATGAATGCATCACCCCTGGATCACAATATTTTCTTCCGGTCTGATGTTGCACATTTACAATGCAACGTTTCAAGAGGAATGAATAAGAGTGCCATTCCCTGTTAAAACATTCCTCTGCTATTAGTTTCAAATGTGTAGCGACGAGGCAGAGAGAGAGAGAGGGAGAGAGACGGTCCTTGTGTATTACAGGTAATTTGAACAGTTTTTACCTTTTAGACAGTGTTGTGTTTTGTGCGTTAGATATAATGTTGATGAGTTAGTTCATTGATCACTCTTATTTGCAAAGATACATCCACCGCTGTCTTCACAGACTGAAGAATGGACAATTCTTACAAATGGCAGCTGCATGGAAGTCCAAGGTCAAGGTAAAAAACGCAGACAAACAAGGTCGTAATCAGAGTCTAGACAGACAAGAATGAACTTCACACTCGTATGCATGCAAACTCGCTGTAGTTTGAAAGCCTTTGAGATACAACTTGGGAAAACGGAAAAGAAACTAGCAAACCAGACTGATCTCATGAAATGGCGTATGTATGACACGCCAATTCGTATTTTCATGAGCAAACAATCCAAAGTAATTCCTAATTTTTAAAGTGCACAGGCAACTGTTAAACTGTTACGAGTAGGAAGACAAATACGACTAACAATGCAGAAATCCATTTCCGGCGAATCTGCTTTCTTCCTCTCGTGTTTCTGTGAAGAGTTCCTCTATATGACATGTTAATTATGGAGCTTCTAGCTTATATTATCCAGATTTGTTGACATTCAATGAGCTTCGCTACAAGAACCATGTTTTTTTTTTTTTTTTTTACAAAACACCGAACAATGTTTAGGCGAATGCAGTGACTTGTTTACAGTTGCTTCCTCAAAGCAACAAATTACGAATGTGGAAACAGAGAAATGTAAAAGGAAGATTCTGAATGCAAGAGATTTTGGTTAAACATTTGTTACCTTATTTTTTATATTTAATGTGAAGTTGCAATAGCTTGTGAAGTAAACTAATTTTCCCTGGAAGACCTTTTTGATAATTTCGGTCTCAAGTTCATTTTGATCAATTTGTCACCAATTGCAATATCAGATTTCAGCCATTTAAAAAGTAGATTTTAACAATCAAATCGGAGCTCGTGTACAATCTTATAACCAATTTAAGACAACATAGCCTACCTCTTCTTATAAAAAAAAAGAATCCAAAGTGACATGAAAAGTAATTCTATTCATCAATGAAAAACATTTCTATTATTTACAGCACAGCTGCACCTAAAGTGTTAGGCTTAACGTTTGACTCATTTCAAATTCAACATCGCATTCCATATACGGATCAACGTTTTGCTCCGATGTTATTGCTTCCTGTACAAGTTGAAAATTATCAAAACACATGAATCAGTTTGAATAAAACAATTTGGAATAACTCAATATTAATTAATATTTGAAATAGCAGTATATCATTTAAAAAGCTCTGTTGACTATTTGTGCTATTCATTTTAAAGCGACTTGTGTAGTTTACAACTACACATTAAAGGCGTCCCCTCTCTAACACACCAAGTAATAATCCTGCGTATTATAATCTCGGGCTTTGATACTTCACTGGGCTTTTAAAAAATAAAAATATTTATTTATTTATTATTGTTATTTTTTTAATAAATGTTTGAAAATAAGTACCCTTCACCCTCTTACTAAAATATTATGTAAATTTTTATGGTTAAATATAAGACTCAATATAGCTAAATTACAGTTCCGTATTAGCAAAATATACAGTCAAATTAATGAGCATTGTTTGAATAGCAGTGAGAGCGCTAAAATGGCATAAAGGTTCCATCGAGTCTCAACACACGGCGCCTTTAAAACGGTGACCACAGTGTCAAACTGAAAGAGGATTTAGTGAGTGTCCCTGTGTCTGCTGAGAGTGAGTTTGTGTCTATGTAAACTAGCGCCTGTGATTAAGCACCTTTCTTTCTTGCATTTTTTATTTGAATGGCAAAATACTTACGCATTATTTCAAATGTCCAACGATTTATTTCAAATATTGCAAATTTGTTCCTTTTAATAACACTGATGAATAAGACAAAACAATTAGGCAACTGAAAATGCAACAGAGATCTAGCATACAAGTTTGTTTTATACGTTTCCTCACAACTGTGTGCATCTTGCACGTCTCTGCGTGTTAAAGTTTGTCACTGACTGCAAGCAGTGCTTTCAATAGAATGATCTTGGACTGATTTTTCACTTTTCTGTTGCAAAGAAATCACAGGTGTAGGCTACTGTACACTTAAATATAACTCTTCATGCCCTTCATTCTCCATTGAATTACCGTTGTAGTGCGTCAGGTTGCTTCTTAATCACAGGCCCAAATACATATAATCAGAAAGCTTTATGATATCTGACTTTTTCATTATCACACTTTAAAGCTAAAAGTTACAGGGAGCGATGTAAAAAAAAAAAAAAAGTTTAAAGACATTAAAAAGCTCAAGAAAACCATTGTCTGTGCAGTTCACATTTGAGATCAAGTTTGAAAACCAACTATTCTTACATCTGACGTCACCAAACCAATGCATCTAAAGGCGACGCAGCGATAATTTACAAAAATATTTTTATTTTATGACCATGGGAGAGGAATAGTCGATCACGTGGCAAATTATTCTAATGCAATCTATTTATAATGGTAAAAAGTAGGCCTAATGTTTTAAGTAATATAGCCTAGTTTTATTTACACTATAAAACCAGTCTAATTTCATTGCTCTGCTATGATGTATTAAATACCATACCAATCTATCAGCTACTGGCATACTTAGTAGACCTGTCGTGTTCTCTTATCCATCTCTCTATCCACATTGTGCCCAAATCTTCATTCAGATTTATACATGAGCATTACAGAAAACAAATGAAGAACGGAAAAGCATGAACATTTTAACTAATTTTCTAGATATTTCTGGATATTTTAGGCTATTATACAAGAGCTCAGACTTGAGTTGATCTGTATATTCATTCATGTAAAAGTAATAGTTTAAAAGTTTTGGTTGTATGAGGTAAAGACAAGGAAATCTGTCATTCAGGGATTTGGGAGCAGCATTGTTGTGTCTGTGCGTCTTACGTTGTCATGGAGTGGGTGAAAGATCGATTGCAACATCAGTTAAAGCTCGCTAGCCACAGCCCTATTAAAAGGTGGCTTCTATTCTGGTTCCTATGCACACAAAGACCATCCGAATATTCACGTTCTGTAGTTTAGTTGGATAAAAATTACATTATGATGGGTAAATCATACATCACTAGATTCACTCACTCTTTAAACAAAGTGTTTTCTGAAATTGATATAGGCCTATAACATCTAAACATTATTTTCCACCCTTTTTAAATTATTAATAAAAACTTGTCAAACGGCAAAGACGTGAGTTAAAAGTAGGCCGCCACGTAACTTCTCTACAATCCCTGGTCTACAAGTAAAATCAATGCAGATAACGTTACGCTAAATTTGGTTCAAACACAGCAGATTTTCTTTATTAACCAAGAAAGAATGAATTTCCCACCAAAAAACTCGATGTTTACATAAGACAGAAGCTATATGTATTTTGAACGAATGTCTTCAAAAACGCAAACGCAATGTGCCAATAAGCACTGCATCAAAAAATGTAATGTGCTCAAGGCGCTTAAAAGCTACACATTTGCCTCTGCATGCACATTCTTGCGGGGCTGCTGCAGGCCTTGTTCAGGAATTGATTCTTCTATGAAAAAAAAAAAACCATCCTGCAGAGTGCAGTGCCAACGTTCATGAATATGTATCAATGTCACTGCAGTGCCACAGTGCTCCTATACCACTATACCAAAAGCATTCAATTTAAAGTCTAATCTAAAAAAAGAACAGTAGGCTATAGTTGAGTAAGAAGTAGGCTATTAAAAAATAGTCGTTCGAAACAAAACATCTCAAACGCTGTTTCGTAATGACCTTTCTTATTCCAGAAAGCAATAGCGTCCCCTTGAAGGAACAAATCCGTATTAAATCTCGCATAGTTCAGCAGAATATGACTAGGCCTGCGTCGATTCAGCCTCGGTGCAATGCGGTAAAATTTGTGGCTTAGCCTATATGAAGAACAGCATGAGCAAGTGAGATGACAATTTAAATCTGCGGTCAGGCATAATGAGAAATGGTATAGTAAGAAATGGGAAGGTATAGGCCTACAGACCAGGATCTTCATTTTTAACAGAAGTGCACGATCAGATTTCTTTGTTAGGCTATATATCACCTGCGTTGCAATTATGCTATCACTACCATATAGGTTACACTGAAGTGAGAACGCAAAATCTTATAAAAAACAGAAAAACACACGAAAAAAACTGATTATGTAGACTGGACTCGTAGCATGTTTTGCCGGTCCATTTATGTCGGTGTAGTAAAACTGGGAACAACATTAAAATCCAAAAGCACTGACTCAGAGGATATTTTCATGCACGTTTTGACAACTCGTAGCCTACTTGTGTAGCTTCGGAATTTATACGTTACTCATTTTACCATGTTACGTCCTTTACATTCAGAGGGCTGCATTACAATGGCAACTAAAAGTCCGTTTGTCAGAGCGTCTCACAAAATGTCTCCCCCACTTTCAGGCACGTCTAGTCGGAAGTCCAAGTTCAAGTTAAAGGAGGCGGTCAGTTCCTCTGCAGACATGTTAATTGCGACAGCATGTAAGTGCAACTTTCTCGGTTTCTGACATCTTTTCTTTAAAGATATGGTTAAGATAGTCAAATAGAGTTTTTTTTTTCTTTCTCCATGTAGGGCCTACGGAATATAGGCTATAGGGATCTCAGAATGCCCATGCCAGAGGTGGGATATGAAAATGAACCTGGAATATGAGCTAGAATATGGACCAATTTCATTATAAGATCTTTTTTTTATCGGTTTTGTGGTAATTTGTAGCTTGAAGAAGAAGAAACCTGTATAGGCCAAGTAACGCTGCGAGCTCTTGCTTTATGCGTTTTTAGGCTATTATTTCCGAATAGTTTATCTTTAAGAGAGAAAAAAAAAACACTACAGCAACCGACAAACACCAATTTACTTCAAGTTCTTACTTTTTACAAATACACTGGCCTTATTATATTATACTGTATAAAATAGTAGCTGCTATACGCATATCACACAGGCTATACTATGGAATGAGTTAGAAATATGGTTAAAAAAATAGGCGTTTGTCATGGCTCGTTGTTTTTCACCAGGAAAAAGTAACAGAAGTTTGTTTAGGCTACTAAAAATGCAACACATTTATTAAGCTTTATTTTAAACGACCAAAACGAGTCCATATTGCGGTTTAAACATGGAGGCTGAATAGTCGTCTTTTCAACAATTAATTAGAACAGCTGCGAGTTATTTTACGTTTCACTATGTTTTTTTTTCTCCCGTAGCAACAGCTACAAACAGCAAAAGAGTTTGTATTTCCACAATAACTTGCTACAATTAACATCCGTTATTTTGTGTTATATTTCGCAGGCGTTCAGTCATCATTGGAAAAATATCCTTTTTGATTTACAAAACGTTATTAAATTATAAATGTTTCATAATCGTATAAAATAACTACCTAAAGATAAGAACCATATAGTCTGAAAATCAAATTAAAAACTGTTTTGCTGTTTATCTAAAATCTGCCATCTATTTGCATGCGATATGGGCTATGTGGGCTGGCTACGTAGTGCTGTTGAGTGCGTACGTTTTCATACAACCTTTCTCTACCAAATGTATAACCCCCTTGCAGAATTTAAATAAATATAAGAAATAGCAAGTTATTTTTATAGCTACATAATGTACACTCAAAAACACAAAAATAAAGTTTCATTATTGGCATCGATGCTTTCATTAACAACCTTTGCACAAAAGGTTCCTTAGATGATTAAATTGTACTTCATAAAGAAAAATGGTTATTTTAAGAACTGATCACTGAAAGGTTTTCTGCATGGGGAACTAAAAATCATTCTTCTATGGCATCATGGCAAAACTCAGTTTTTGTAACCTTTACTTTTAAGAGTGTAAGACATTATACATATTTCCCACAAGACAAATTTTACACCGATCATCCTGAACAAACGTTTAATATTGGTTTCTAATATGTATGTATGCAGCGTTTATAGTTCAATATGAGTCCCTCAGATGTCCTAAGTGTGAAAAGCTGGATCTCAGCCACTGCTGGGAAGAGCTCAAATGTACAGAAAATACTGGAAAACCAACGTAATGTGCAGTAGTACATAGAGGATTTCTCTAAAGAAGTGGGCAGCTTCACTACTCAGGAAAAAAACACTATCACAAAGCATAGAAATCATCGAGGAAACAAAGGGATGTGTGTAAATTCACATTTTGTTATTGTTATTATATCTGTGCAGTTCTAAAAAATAAAAAAGATCCCTCTTTTTGTGTGTACAGAGGTTCAAAGAGCTGAACGTTGGAATGTTAAAAACATTGATGAGAACAAAAATCTGGCATATTCTGACAGTGCTGAAAATCCTGGAAAAACAGCCCCAAAATAACCTATATTCAGTTACATCTCATATTTACAATTATCCATATGACGCATCAGAGAGTCCGGGAAAGTATGTGGACACATAATGAAAAGTGGTGGTCATTCTGGCCTCAAATTCATCACTGGACACAATTATTTTCGCTATTTTTGATATTCTCATGGTACTGTTATCGCGCAACTTAATTCTTTGTATTCCTTTTCTATATTTTAAGTATCGGTACAGTTAATTCTAACTTTAAGGACAAGGAATTGATGAATACAAAATAGACGTTTTTACACTCAGAAACGCTGGATTACACAAAACATTATTTGAAGATGCCAACTGCATCAAACTCGTTCAGAATTCATACTTTCACCACTGTGCGACCACCTCTGACATAATAGCCTACATATCTATTTTGTTACATATTTTTGTTACTTTATAGTAAGGCTACATGTAAACTATAAAGGGAAACGAAATTGGATGGTTTGTTAGGCTATTGTTATAATTCACCGCTGTAATGAAGTGTACACGTGAATAGTCCTTCGAACTAGGTTTAAAACGTACCTCAGGAAAAAATAACGCACAAATAGCTTCTGAAATCACCATAAAAATACGGACAAAAGTTGTTTTAATCGTCTTATTATAGGCAAATGAATCCAAACAGACAATTTGTTCTCCCTCTGCATTTTACATCGTTTAACAAAACATGATGAAGGTCAAGGCACAAGTATTGCCAACAAAAGCATGCAAAACGTCCTTGAGTATTTGCATTTGACTGGAAGTGTTTAAGTGATCTTCAAGTAAAATGACTTTTCTCAAAATTTAAAAAAGTAAATTATATAATTTGCACTAGAAAATACTAAAACAAGTTACTAGCAGTTTTCACGACCTTATGATGAATTATATGTCTGAACATATTCCATCCACATAATTACGAATATACAGTTGTTCATAAGGAAGAGGATCACAATCAAATCCCTGGCATAAATGTATAACTAGTATTGAGCACTAATGAGCACTTAATAAAATGTAGCTCTTTGGACATCCAAATTGGTGTACAAAATGAAAATAAAGTTAAAATCGCACTAGAACACTGAAATTATACCACATTTTAAACTATGACATCAGACAGAAATAGCCAATAATTCGCACGCACGACACTAGTTTCCTAAACGCATGTTTATGCAATGACAAATTACGCATTTAGAGGAAAAAAAAGCATTTTTGATCAACTAAAAATTACAGTCGGTTATTATATTAAATCTAGGCCTATGTATTACATATACAAAATCGATAAGCACTTTCACAATCGATTCATATTCGGCTGGACAGGGACAACAAGTAAAGTTCAAGTTCAAAGTCTCTCACAGCAGACAGCCAAGGAGAACGCGCAAGGAGACCCCTTCACCTCTAACAAAATAAATCACAGTAGGAATGCACAACTTTTGTCTTGAAGTTTTAAAACACGTTTCTAAGTGCAATATTGTTTTCTTAAACTCTAGTAGTTCAGTTGATAAACTAGAATTCCATTCGTAGCCTATATAAAACATTTTTAAAAATACGCGTTTGCAATTTAAACAATATTACAAAAAACGTTCAGTCGCGTTCAGTGGTGCACCGTCCGTCTTAATCCAAACAACAACTTTGTACCGTTCCTGCGTTTGATTACGTGCAACGTTGGATGTGTTATTTTTGGCCCATGCATGCTAAATTGCAGCTTCACAAACCAAATAACGGTCTATGGTTAAACTTTAAACAGTAAGTAATACTCATCACCTCTTCAAGTTTAACAACATTTTATCATTCAAAATTCAGTGTTTTAAGTGTTCCCCGTTTTCTCATTTATAACCAATATTTTCAAACGTTATAGGTCTTGTAAAAACATATCTCAATAAAAAGTGTACTTATTTTCTTTTGTTTCCTTGCATTAGATTCGATTTCAGCATAAAGAGACCAGAACAATTGGGAAGTTACAGTTCAAAACCTTTACACTTTAGTGATAATCTGGGGAGCCACGACCGTGAAAAAGTCGTGGATAAATTCGACAAATTTTTCAAATAAAATTAGAAATAAAATAAATAACTTAAATATTTTTAACCCATCATCTTGCTGAACACAATTATTCATGATTATCCATCCAATTCGGCTGTTCCACTAAAGGTCTTCTAAATAAACTTCGCTAAACAGCAATAATAATAATAAAAAAGTTTGCTTAGAGACAAGTTTGATCAATTTGCCCCCGAGAACATTCAAAGTGTTTCTTAAATATTTCCACAAAACGAGAATTCGCATTCGCAAATGAGAACCTGTATTTTAAATGATGGAACCTAATCAACATGCATAAACATATCTTGATATTATTCAGTTTGGAGCTACAAAGGCGTGGAACGGTCATCAGATAAAGCCATTCTACCCTGAGTTCCAAATAAACATTTTAACTATGCTTAAATGTGTGCTTCCAGTACTCCGATTGGTTTTATTGATTTAATTGGTATGTTTAAAGACCTATTCTTGTTTGGATAAAAGTTGTTTTTCTCAGTCAAGCCGTCCATAAATGCAAAGTAAATACAAACCAAATGTAATTTGAAATTAAAGCTTTTTTATTAACATATCCAGAGTGGTTATGGGGCATTGAAAAACCGCATTTTGCAACATTTCATCCTGCGTGGGATTTTATGAAGAGCCCTGCAGAAGTGAGGAGCTGCGATTTTAAATTCGCCTATATCAACAGAGCGCGCACTCAGGGCCCTTAATTAATCCTGTCCTTAATTAGATAATTAACGCATCCTGCTGCTGTAAAATAATATGCATGAGTGAGATATTAAATGCTTGAAAGGCTTAACACGACTGTCGACGGCAATAATGTACAGTCTCTGAACGCTGGACAATATAATGGAGCCTACGTGACTTATTGTCATTGCAAGAGCTCGGATGCTGTGCAAGCACGTGATGGTCTGCAAAGTATAGTAGACACCTAGGATGAAGACGAATCAAACACGTAGGTTACTTGGCAAAACATATCGCAATAAGGCCTCATTAAATTATAAGGCGGGTTGCAGATTAAAGATGTGGAATGTTTTGTCCTTTTCCTTATTTGCTTCAACTATGTGACGACTTTCAGAGAAAAATTTGAGTACTAAAAATCTTTCCAAACATTTTTTCCTCACTCAGTATGCTTCACCACGAAATACTGAGAT